AGTGAGATGCCCCTGTAGTTGTTACAGTCTGTGCGGTCCCCCTTCTTAAAAAGGGGGACCACCAGGGCATCCTTCCAATCCTGCGGAACCCGTCCAGTGGTCCAGACTGTTGTTATGATGCCTTGTAGGGCAGTCTGTGCACAAACGCCACCCTCCCTCAGCATTTCGCTTGGGAGATCATCTCTGCCCGCTGCCTTTCCTGGTCTCAGACTCCGGATCGCCTTCAGTACTTCCTCAACAGATGGCACCTCAGCCAGCCACTCACAGGGGGTGACTTCTTCTTCCAATATTTGAGGCACCGCAGCCTCAGCAGGGTCATCCCCACTTTGTGCCACGATGTTTTCCTGGCTGAGGGATTTTCCCTTCCCCCAGAACCTCACAGAAATGCTCAGCGAATCTGCACACACACATACACCTACACACGCAGACACACATACAGACACACACACACGCAGACACAAACACTAACACACACACACACTGGCACACTGACACACACACTGACACACACACACACATACACACACACTGTCACACTGACACAAAGATCCCCCGTATAGCCTTAACAGACTGTAGGGGCAAGTGCTGTTAGCGAGCACCTATGAAGGCCGGAACGGTACACGAGGGGGTGGGTGGCCAGCACCACACCCGACCGCCTTTGTCTCCCTAGTGGCGATGTTTACTACACACCGCACCAGGTACTCATTTGAGGCTGAGTCGACCTAGGGGAGGCCCGGGACCGGTTCAGATAATCGTCACTGGTGTTGGCCGTGAGCGGGAATCGAACCCGGGTCGCCAGGTTCATAGCACAGCAGCGTAGCGCTAACCACTACACTACCGCTCACACACAGACACACACACACACACAGACACACACACTGACACACACACACACACACTGACACACACACACTGACACACACACACACAGACACACACACACTGACACACACACACACTGACACACACACACTGACACACACACACAGACACACACACACTGACACACACACACAGACACACACACACACACAGACACACACACACACACAGACACACACACAGACACACACACACACACACTGACACACACACACTGACACACACACACAGACACACACACAGACACACACACACACACACTGACACACACACACACTGACACACACACACACTGACACACACACACTGACACACACACACACACACTGACACACACACACTGACACACACACACACACACTGACACACACACACACTGACACACACACACACACTGACACACACACACTGACACACACACAGACACACACACACTCACTGACACACACACTGACACACACACACACAGACACACACACTGACACACACACAGACACACACACACAGACACACACACACACACTGACACACACACAGACACACACACTGACACACACACAGACACACACACACACACAGACACACACACTGACACACACACACTGACACACACACTGACAGACAGACACACACACTGACACACACACAGACACACACACACACACTGACACACACACACACAGACACACAGACACACACACACACACTGACACACACACAGACACACACACAGACACACACACAGACACACACACTGACACACACACTGACACACACACACAGACACACACACAGACACACACACACATACAGACACACACACTGACACACACACAGACACACACACACTGACACTCTGACGGTGAACGCAATCTGCGATTTTATCTTTGATCGCTTATCTCTGAGTTTGCCTGAGGACATTGATAGTGTGATGTTTGGGTGCTGTGTGTATCTGTGTGTGTATCTCTGTGTGTGTCTCTCTGCATATAAAACACAGGTGGATGACTGTGGGTCACGGGGTATCATGTGTTAGAGAGACAGAGAGACAGAGAGAGACACACACAGAGACACAAACAGAGAGACAGAGAGACACACACACAGAGACACAGAGAGACACACACACACACAGACACACAGAGACACACAGACACACACAGAGACACAGAGACACACACAGACACACAGACACACAGACACAGAGACACACACAGAGACACAAACACACACACAGATACACACACAGAGAGACACACAGAGACACACACACACAGACACACACACACAAACACACAGACACTGTCAAGATGGTGATGCGGATGGTGATGGTGGTGATGGTGATGGTGGTGATTGTTCCAGGCAAGTACGGTGGCATATGAACGGCGAGTGAATGAAAGAGAGAAAAGTCTAGCGTGGTGATGGTGATTGGGGTGGTGATGGTGGTGGTGATGGTGGTGGTGGAGGTGGTGGTGGTGGTGGTGATGGTGGTGGTGGTGATGGTGGTGGTGGTGATGGTGGTGGTGGTGGTGATGGTGGTGGTAATGGTGGTGGTGATGGTGGTGGTGATGATGGTGGTGGTGGTGATGGTGGTGATGATGGTGGTGGAGGTGGTGGAGGTGGTGATGGTGGTGGTGGTGATGATACTACTTCTGATGATGATGATACTACTGATGATGATGATACTACTGATGATGAAACTACTACTGATGATGATGATGATGATACTACTGATGATGATGATGATACTACTACTGATGATGAAACTACTACTGATGATGATGATGATACTACTGATGATGATGATGCTAATACTACTACTGATGATGATGATACTACTACTGATGATGATGATACTACTACTGATGATGATGATACTACTACTGATGATGATGATACTACTACTGATGATGATGATGATAATACTACTAGTGATGATGATACTACTACTGATGATGATGATGATACTACTGATGATGATGATACTACTGATGATGATGATGATGATACTACTACTGATGATGATGCTACTACTGATGATGATGATTCTACTTCTACTGATGATGATGATACTACTACTGATGATGATGAAATTACTACTGATGATGATGATACTACTACTGATGATGATACTACTACTGATGATGATACTACTACTGATGATGATGATGCTACTTCTACTGATGATGATGATGATACTGATGATGATGATGATGATACTACTGATGATGATGCTACTATTGATGATGCTACTACTGATGATGATGATGATACTGATGATGATGCTACTACTACTACTGATGATGATGTTGTTGTAGGAGTGATGATGATACTACTACTGATGATGATGTTGTTGTAAGAGTGATGATGATGATGATACTGATGATGATGATGATGATACTACTACTGATGATAATGTTGTTGTAGGAGTGATGATGATGATACTACTGATGATGATGATGATACTGATGATGATGATGTTGTTGTAGGAGTGATGATGATACTGATGATGATGCTACTACTGATGATGTTGTTGTAGGAGTGATGATGATGATGATGATGATACTGATGATGATACTGATGATGATAATGTTGTTGTAGGAGTGATGATGATAATACTGATGATGATACTGATGATGATACTGATGATGATGTTGTTGTAGGAGTGATGATGATGATGATGTTGTTGTAGGAGTGATGATGATGATACTACTACTGATGATGATGTTGTTGTAGGAGTGATGATGATGATACTACTGATGATGATACTGATTATGATGTTGTTGTAGGAATGATGATGATACTGATGATGATGATGTTGTTGGAGTGATGATGATGATGATACTGATGATGATGATACTGATGATGATGATGTTGTTGTAGGAGTGATGATGATACTACTACTGATGATGATGATGATGATACTGATGATAATGATAATGTTGTTGTTGTTGTAGGAGTGATGATGATGATACTGATGATGATGATGCTGCTACTGATGATGATGTTGTTGTAGGAGTGATGATGATGATGATACTACTACTGGTGATGATACTGATGATGATGATGATGTTGTTGTAGGAGTGATGATGATACTTATGATGATGATGTTGTTGTAGGAGTGATGATGATGATACTGATGATGATGATACTGATGATGATGATGATGTTGTTGTAGGAGTGATGATGATACTGATGATGATGATGTTGTTGTAGGAGTGATGATGATGATACTGATGATGATGATGATACTGATGATGATGATGATGTTGTTGTAGGAGTGATGATGATGATGATACTGATGATGATAATGTTGATGTTGTTGTAGGAGTGATGATACTGATGATGATGATACTGATGATGATGATGATGTTGTTGTAGGAGTGATGATGATGATGTTGTTGTTGTTGTTGTAGGAGTGATGATGATGATACTGATGATGATGCTACTACTACTGATGATGATACTGATGATGATGATACTGATGATGATGATGATGATGTTGTTGTAGGAGTGATGATGATGATGATGTTGTTGTTGTTGTAGGAGTGATGATGATGATACTGATGATGATGCTACTACTACTGATGATGATACTGATGATGATACTGATGATGATGTTGTAGGAGTGATAATGATAATGTTGTTGTTGTTGTAGGAGTGATGATGATGATGATACTACTGATGATGATGATGATGATACTGATGATGATGATGATGTTGTAGGAGTGATGATGATGATACTGATGATGATGATACTACTACTGATGCTACTACTGATGATGTTGTTGTTGTTGTTGTAGGAGTGATGATACTGATGATGATACTGATGATGATGATGTTGTTGTTGTAGGAGTGATGATGATACTGATGATGATGTTGTTGTTGTTGTTGTAGGAGTGATGATGATAATGATAATGTTGATGTTGTTGTAGGAGTGATGATGATACTGATGATGATGATGTTGTTGTAGGAGTTTTGAGTGATACTACTACTACTGATGATGATACTGATGATGATGTTGATGTTGTTGTAGGAGTGATGATGATGATGATGATATTGATGATGATGTTGTTGTTGTAGGAGTTTTGAGTGATGATGATGATACTGATGATGATGATGTTGTTTTAGGAGTTTTGAGCGATCATCACCTCCATCATGACCACGACTGCGAATTGCTCAGAAATCTTGGAGAAGACGCCTACAGAACGAAGTACGGGGTGTCTGTGGGTCTCTGTGTGTGACTGTGGGTCTCTGTGAGTGTCTGTGGGTCTCTATGGGTGTCTGTGGGTCTCTGTGAGTGTCTGTGGGTCTCTATGGGTGTCTATGGGTCTCTATGGGTGTCTGTGGGTCTCTGTGTGTGACTGGGGGTCTCTATGGGTGTCTATGGGTGTTTATGGGTCTCTATGGGTGTCTGTGGGTCTCTGTGTGTGACTGGGGGTCTCTATGAGTCTCTATGGGTGTCTATTGGTCTCTATGGGTGTCTTTGGGTCTATGTGTGTGTCTGTGGGTCTCTATGGGTCTCTATGGGTGTCTATGGGTCTCTGTGGTTCTCTGTGGGTCTCTATGGGTCTCTATGGGTCTATGTGGGTCTCTGTGTGTGACTGGGGGTCTCTATGGGTGTCTATGGGTGTTTATGGGTCTCTATGGGTGTCTGTGGGTCTCTATGAGTGTCTGTGGGTCTCTATGAGTCTCTATGGGTGTCTGTGGGTCTCTGTGTGTGTCTATGGGTGTCTATGGGTGTCTATGTGGGTGTCTGTGGGTCTCTGTGTGTCTCTGTGTGTCTCTGTGGGTCTCTGTGGGTCTCTGTGGGTCTCTGTGTGTCTCTGTGGGTCTCTATGGGTCTCTATGGGTCTCTATGTGTCTCTGTGTGTCTCTGTGGGTCTCTATGGGTCTCTGTGGGTCTCTGTGTGTCTCTGTGGGTCTCTATGGGTCTCTGTGGGTCTCTGTGGGTCTCTATGGGTCTCTATGGGTCTCTATGGGTCTCTGTGGGTCTCTATGGGTGTCTCTGTGGGTCTCTATGGGTGTCTCTATGGGTCTCTATGGGTCTCTATGGGTGTCTTTGTGGGTCTCTGTGGGTCTCTATGGGTGTCTCTGTGGGTCTCTATGGGTGTCTCTATGGGTCTCTATGGGTGTCTCTGTGGGTGTCTATGGGTCTATGTGGGTCTCTGTGGGTGTCTATGGGTCTCTGTGTGTCTCTGTGCGTCTCTGTGGGTCTCTATGGGTCTCTATGGGTCTCTATGGGTCTCTGTGGTTCTCTGTGGGTCTCTGTGTGTCTCTGTGGGTCTCTATGGGTCTCTGTGTGTCTCTATGGGTCTCTGTGTGTCTCTGTGGGTCTCTGTGGGTCTTTATGGGTCTCTATGGGTCTCTATGGGTCTCTGTGGGTCTCTATGGGTCTCTGTGTGTCTCTTTGAGTCTCTGTGGGTCTCTATGGGTGTCTCTATGGGTCTCTATGGGTGTCTCTGTGGGTCTCTGTGGGTGTCTATGGGTGTCTATGGGTCTCTATGGGTGTCTATGGGTCTCTATGGGTCTCTATGGGTCTCTATGGGTCTCTGTGGGTCTCTATGGGTGTCTCTGTGGGTGTCTATGGGTCTCTATGGGTCTCTATGGGTGTCTATGGGTCTCTATGGGTCTCTATGGGTCTCTATGGGTCTCTGTGGGTCTCTGTGGGTCTCTATGGGTCTCTATGAGTCTCTATGGGTCTCTATGGGTCTCTATGGGTCTCTGTGGGTCTCTATGGGTGTCTCTGTGGGTGTCTATGGGTCTCTATGGGTCTCTATGGGTGTCTGTGGGTCTCTATGGGTCTCTGTGGGTCTCTATGGGTGTCTCTGTGGGTGTCTATGGGTCTCTATGGGTCTCTATGGGTCTCTGTGGGTCTCTATGGGTCTCTATGGGTCTCTATGGGTCTCTATGGGTGTCTCTGTGGGTGTCTATGGGTCTCTATGGGTCTCTGTGGGTCTCTATGGGTCTCTATGGGTGTCTATGGGTCTCTGTGGGTCTCTATGTGTCTCTGGGTGTCTATGGGTCTCTGTGGGTCTCTATGGGTCTCTATGGGTGTCTATGGGTCTCTGTGGGTCTCTATGTGTCTCTGGGTGTCTATGGGTCTCTGTGGGTCTCTATGGGTCTCTGTGGGTCTCTATGGGTGTCTATGGGTCTCTGTGGGTCTCTATGGGTGTCTCTATGGGTGTCTATGGGTCTCTGTGGGTCTCTATGGGTCTCTGGGTGTCTCTGTGGGTCTCTATGGGTCTCTTTGAGTCTCTGTGGGTCTCTGTGGGTCTCTATGGGTCTCTGTGGGTGTCTATGGGTCTCTGTGGGTCTCTATGTGTCTCTGGGTGTCTCTGTGGGTCTCTATGGGTCTCTATGGGTCTCTGTGTGTGTCTATGGGTCTATGTGGGTCTCTGTGGGTCTCTATGGGTCTCTATGAGTCTCTATGGGTCTCTATGGGTCTCTATGGGTCTCTGTGGGTCTCTATGGGTGTCTCTGTGGGTGTCTATGGGTCTCTATGGGTCTCTATGGGTGTCTGTGGGTCTCTATGGGTCTCTATGGGTCTCTATGGGTCTCTGTGGGTCTCTATGGGTCTCTATGGGTCTCTATGGGTGTCTATGGGTCTCTATGGGTCTCTATGGGTCTCTGTAGGTCTCTGTGGGTGTCTATGGGTCTCTATGGGTCTCTGTGGGTCTCTATGGGTCTATGTGGGTCTCTGTGGGTCTCTGTGGGTCTCTGTGGGTCTCTATGGGTCTCTATGGGTGTCTCTGTGTGTCTCTATGAGTCTCTGTGTGTCTCTATGGGTCTCTGTGGGTGTCTATGGGTCTCTATGGGTCTCTGTGGGTCTCTATGGGTCTCTATGGGTCTCTGTAGGTCTCTGTGGGTGTCTATGGGTCTCTATGGGTCTCTGTGGGTCTCTATGGGTCTCTGTGGGTCTCTGTGGGTCTCTATGGGTCCCTATGGGTCTCCGTGGGTCTCTATGGGTCTCTATGGGTCTCTGTGTGTGTCTCTATGAGTCTCTGTGTGTCTCTATGGGTCTCTGTGGGTGTCTATGTGGGTCACTATGGGTGTGTCTGTGGGTGTCTATGGGTCTCTGTGTGTCTCTTTGAGTCTCTGTGGGTCTCTGTGGGTCTCTATGGGTCTCTGTGGGTGTCTCTGTGGGTCTCTATGGGTGTCTCTATGGGTCTCTGTGTGTCTCTATGGGTCTCTGTGTGTCTCTATGGGTCTCTGTGGCTGTCGATGGGTCTCTGTGGGTCTCTATGGGTGTCTATTGGTCTCTATGGGTGTCTTTGGGTCTATGTGGGTCACTATGGGTGTCTGTGCGTCTCTGTGTGTGACTGTGGGTGTCTATGGGTGTCTATGGGTCTCTGTGGGTGTGTGTGGGTCTCTGTGCGTTTCTGTGGGTGTCTATGAGTCTCTGTGTGTGTCTGTGGGTCTCTATGGGTGTCTGAGCGTGTCTGTGAGTCTCTGTGGGTCTCTATGGGTGTCTATGGGTGTCTGTGTGTGTCTGTGGGTCTCTATGGGTCTCTATGGGTGTCTATGGGTGTCTATAGGTCTCTATGAATCTGTGGGTGTCTATGGGTCTCTATGGGTGTCTATGGGTGTCTATGGGTCTCTATGAATCTGTGGGTGTCTATGAGTCTCTATGGGTCTCTATGGGTCTCTGTGCGTCTCTATGGGTCTCTGTGGGTGTCTATGGGTCTCTATGGGTCTCTATGGGTCTCTATGGGTCTCTGTGGGTCTCTATGGGTCTCTATGGGTGTTTATGGGTCTCTGTGGGTCTCTATGGGTCTCTATGGGTCTCTATGGGTCTATGTGGGTCTCTATGGGTCTCTATGGGTCTCTGTGAGTCTCTGTGGGTCTCTATGGGTCTCTATGGGTCTCTGTGGGTCTCTGTGAGTCTCTATGCGTCTCTGTGGGTCTCTGTGAGTCTCTGTGGGTCTCTATGGGTCTCTATGGGTCTCTATGGGTGTCTATGGGTCTCTGTGGTTCTCTGTGGGTCTCTATGGGTCTCTATGGGTCTATGTGGGTCTCTATGGGTCTCTATGGGTCTCTGTGTGTCTCTATGAGTCTCTGTGGGTCTCTGTGGGTCTCTATGGGTGTCTCTATGGGTCTCTGTGTGTCTCTATGAGTCTCTGTGGGTCTCTGTGGGTCTCTGTGGGTCTCTTTGGGTGTCTATGGGTATCTATGGGTCTCTATGGGTGTCTATGGGTCTCTGTGGGGTCTCTGTGGGTCTCTATGGGTGTCTATGGGTCTCTGTAGGTCTCTGTGGGTCTCTGTGGGTGTCTATGGGTCTCTGTGTGTCTCTATGAGTGTCTCTATGGGTGTCTATGGGTCTCTATGGGTGTCTATGGGTCTCTGTGGGGTCTCTGTGGGTCTCTGTGGGTGTCTATGGGTCTCTATGGGTGTCTCTGTGGGTGTCTATGAGTCTCTATGGGTCTCTATGGGTGTCTATGGGTCTCTGTGGGTCTCTATGGGTCTCTATGGGTGTCTATGAGTCTCTGTGGGTCTCTATGGGTCTCTATGGGTCTCTATGGTCTCTATGGGTGTCTGTGGGTCTCTATGGGTCTCTATGGGTCTCTATGGGTGTCTATGGGTCTCTGTGGGTCTCTATGGGTGTCTATGGGTCTCTGTGGGTCTCTATGGGTGTCTCTGTGGGTGTCTATGAGTCTCTATGGGTCTCTATGGGTCTCTGTGGGTCTCTATGGGTCTCTATGGGTCTCTATGGGTCTCTATGGGTCTCTATGGGTCTCTGTGGGTCTCTATGGGTCTCTATGGGTGTCTCTGTGGGTCTCTATGGGTCTCTATGGGTGTCTCTGTGGGTCTCTATGGGTCTCTATGGGTGTCTCTGTGAGTCTCTATGGGTCTCTATGGGTGTCTATGGGTCTCTGTGTGTGTCTGTGGGTCTCTATGGGTCTCTATGGGTCTCTATGGGTCTCTATGGGTGTCTCTATGGGTCTCTGTGGGTCTCTATGGGTCTCTGTGGGTCTCTGTGGGTCTCTATGGGTCTCTGTGGGTCTCTGTGAGTCTCTGTGGGTGTCTATGGGTCTCTATGGGTGTTTATGGGTCTCTATGGGTCTCTGTGGGTCTCTATGGGTCTCTGTGGGTCTCTATGGGTGTCTATGGGTCTCTATGGGTCTCTATGGGTCTCTGTGGGTCTCTATGGGTCTCTATGGGTCTCTATGGGTCTCTGTGGGTCTCTATGGGTCTCTATGGGTGTTTATGGGT